ATTATAATTATGTACCAATTTGAATTATTTACAGATTTTAATTTTTGAATTATTTTCATGTAAGTTTTTGGTAGAATTTGTAGGACAAAAATGGAAAAAGAGTTAAACTGCTGAAATATTTTAGAAGTCAAACAGGATAGAAAATTAGATGAGAAAGTCAAAGAATGTTTTTCTTGTAAATGATGATTTTTTTGCTTTTTTTGATTGTTCAGCTGAAACATTTCCTACTGAAATGTTTTTTTTCCTCCATGAACTGGTTAGTGTGCATTTTTTTCTTCACATTGTGCAATTCTTTCTTGCAACAAGTTTATTTTATGACACTTCCAGTTTATGACACTTCTAGTTGTCCAGGAAGATGTTTTCACGGTATAATACTGCAAGTTAGTCACTATGGGTGACCTTCGACCTTTTGGTTTACGTAAGATAATATTCCAACACAGACTCTCTCTGACTATTTTGAATTTCATCTAAAGCAAAGGGACTTCTTTGTGCCAGTAGGTAACTTTTCAACAGAGTAGATGAAAATGACATGAGGGGTTCCCCAAGGTTCCATCCTGTAATTTATTTATCCTTGTACAGAAAAACGTCTGCTTAGTCACACGGTGTTCATCTTTGCTGAATTTTTGCAAAAAGAAAAAAGACAATAAAAAAAGATCTACATTTATTATTGCAGTAACAGACTGATGGTATTTTTGCCGATTAGGCCCAACCACCATGATGTCTGAAGGCACCAAGAACATCGTGGAGGCCATGAAGGCACGAGGAATCCGCAAAGTCATCGGCTGCATGTCAGGTATGAGGCTTAAAGAGGCTGTTTATTAGCAAATAAATGTTAAATGTTTTTCATTTAACATGAAAAGCATAATATTTAAATTTTTATATTTATCATATCATCCCATTTATTTCTAACCCAGCGTTCCTCCTGTGGGATCGCGCCAAAGTCCCGCCTCGTCTGGTCCCAGTGACAGAGGATCATGACCGGATGTACACGGTTCTGAAAACATCCGGGCTCGACTACGTGGCTGTCATGCCTCCTCACATTGCTAGTCAGTAGAAAACAAGTATCTAGCAGTAACTTTCCTCCTTTAAATGATAGGATTTTATTTCTGTATACTAATAAAAAGTTGTAACTTGTTTGGGTTTTCTGCAGGCGACCTTCCTCTGACTGAGCGCTACTCGGCGACAGAAAATATGCTGAAAGGACGAGCCATCTCCAAGCACGATCTGGGACATTTCTTTGTCAAGTGTCTGTCCACATCGGAGTGGGACAGAAAGACTGTGGGAGTCTGGGGAGAATACAAATAATCCCAGCAAACTCACTGCAGATGCTTCCATTTTTTTACCATTTACACCAAAAAACTAAATAGAAAAGAGAACATTAACACATAAATCAAGAGATGTTTTTGATTTTTCAAATTCATTCCATCTCTTTTATTGGTAAATAAGCAAAACATGCTTCAGATCTTTGAGTTTTATTGTCTTTAACAGCCGCAGCACAAGATTGTATCTTGTTACCAAACTTTACAACATGTGAAGCTTTTATTCTGCTCTGGATTCATTTTACAGCTGGTAATAATAAAAGTCCTTTTTCTGTCTTGCATCATTTACTGAGTAAATTATAAAGCTCTAATGAGAAGTTTCACTCACTCTTAAAGCTCCAGTACCTCTTATAAATATATATAGATATATACATATATATATATTTTTACATATTTGATGAAACCGTCACCATGTTGTAACAATATTGTCTGAGACAGATCTGTGAAAAAATTTTAGCTCCTCTGCCTTCTCCCAGTGCCAACTAGAAACAGCCAATTAAAGGCGGGTCTTGGCGCTGTCAATCACAATCTTGTGTAGCACTGCCCATCCCCCTTTCCTCTCAGCTACCGCTGAGCATTCACATTAAATGCTAAGGCTAGTTAGCATAGCCACCAATGGTGGCAGATAAATGGTTTTCCTGTAATGGCCAGATGGTAGCACATTTAGCATCGAGTACATGAAGTGATTCACAACGCTAAGGCCCACCTCCTGAATCTGATTGGTTGTTTTTGGTCAGGAGTGGTACATTTCTTCTGACAATAGTAGCTCAGGTAGAGGGGATTCATCTCATCACAGGTTATCTGTTTAATAAACTGTCAACATGGTGACAGTTTGAACAAATATGTAAAAAAAAATAAAAAGTTACATACTTTAATGTGCATGAATATATGTTGTGATTTTAAATTATTTTGTGGAAGAGACATTTCCTTTTAGGAGACGGAAAAGAAGACAAGATTTAAAGGGGACCTATTATACAACATTTATATTTTGCACATTTTTCTACTTCCATTTGGGTCTCAACCGCCTCTAAAAACAACGCAGGGAAAAAAAAAAAAAAAAAACTTGACCAACTTGATTTTGATGTGTGGATAATGAGGCATTTCAAAAACTTCCCAATTGCTTAGTTACAATCCTCAGGCACTGTGCCGTTATCTATCAACTCTAGCCAAGCTCAGTCCGGTTACCTTGCAACCCAAAACCTCCACCACATGTAGGGAATGGGGTTTCGCCACCAGCAACTTATTTGGATTTAAAATATTTAAAGTGATATAGCCTTAAAACAGCTTTTTCTAAAAGGAGTTCAAAATAGGCGGAACTGAGCAGAATAAAATGTTATTGTGAAGAATGATTTTGTGCAACAGAATTCAAATATGTTCAAGAAATCATAAAAGGTCACTTTTAGCTTCTTGTGAAGTAATAGTGGTAGATATCAGAAAATAGAATAACATATTTTGTCACTCGACTTAGAAATTAAACTCTGATATTATAGATTAATCACATTTCCGCCAAAAAAAATCTCAGAAATTTTCTAGAAAAACTTGAAAATTTCCACGTATTCAACTTCAGAAATTTGGAAATTTCCAAGACTTTTTCTCAATTTCTGAGATCAATCTCAAAATTTCTCGTTTTCTAGCAAATTTTTTACTTTTCAAACATAGAAATCTCCAAATTCTTTCTCAAAAGATGTTGAGATGAATCTCAAAATTTCATTTTCTTTTTTTGGTGGAAATGTACTCCTCTTTTTTTCTATTTACAATGGTGCCAATACGTCTCTGAGCTTGCCATTGTCATTTTATCCCTAACTTTGTATTTACCAAATAATGGTTAACGGATTTGCACAAGCCTTTACTTTGAAAGAGTCAAACGGAAGTTGTATTTTGGTAAATTGACCCTTTTCCTGTTCTGGCCAATGCTAAGGCTGGGAAGGATGGAGGAGGAGCTGCGGCTGTTTTTGACTCGCTGGAACTTCATGAAGCTGGAAGTTTAAAGGAATAGAACCGAAACCAGAAACTTTGACATGTTTCTCTTCGGTTCGAGCTAATTTTACTAACAGTTTTTCTTCATATGGGCCACAACTTTCAGGTAACCTCTCTTCCTGTGCTTCCATAACTGGCCTTCATTTTAAATGAGTTTCCTTGTGGACGTGGACACCTCTTCTCTTGCTTTCCTTTTTAAAAGTCATACTAAAAGGGTTAAAATAGTTAATTTTAACGATATTATTAGTTATTTCTTTGCTTTTATGTCATAAATTATATATTGTCCTGTGGTAAATGTATTAACTAACCTCATTAGGTTGCAGTTTTGGTGGTTTTATACTGAACTCCGACGGAAATGCCTTTTTTGTGAGGTGACGTAATCATTGAGGAATTACTGCAATCCAAATTACATAATTCGGAACAGTGGCGACTTAACGGTTTTATAAATAGTATTTATATCAATACTGATATGGTGTTATTAGTATAAGATGAAGAAGTGTTACATTAGCTTGTCTTGTAAAGGGGGAAAAAAAATCATCTGGTGGAATGTTACGCAACTAAACTCCATTACCCAGAATGCCTTTCGACATCCAGCTTCCAACTGTAAAGCGACTGGCGTGAAACTCAAATCACGGGCGGGAGCTTGCTCTTAGTTTCACCCGACTCCGCGCTCCGGTACATTTAAACGTTTTTCACTTTTTCAAAAATCGCTATTTAAATTCCGTTCAATTTTTACTTTGGTTACATAAAAGCGAAGTTTTATCGGTCGTCCTTTTAGCGAAGTGAGTAATTGCGACGAGTTTAAAAGTTAAACGGCAGCAACGAAACTCTCCGAGGGAGGAGTGAACCAACAGGTCGGTTTAACTGTCTTTTTAAACAGCTTTACAAGTTTACAGCCTGGGTTTCCGGGTGAGTTAAAGTTTTTTGCTTTGTTTAAACAAAATGTTAGTTGTTTATTTAAATCATTTTATAAAGTGTCCCCTGTATAGCCGGGTAATTTTTTTCCCTCCCACACGATGAATCAAACGTTACAGCACCAACCCCCATCTTGTGTCTCAAAAAAGCAGCTTTCAGAGGATCAAAAATGCCTCTAAAAACTCAAAAGAAACAAAACCAAACTTGACTAAATCAGAATATATAATTTAGACGGTTTCTGATATCGATCCTGACTCTACCTTTTTAACTCTGAACTTTAAGTTTTACCTGTAATTAGATATAATCCTTGGGGAAACTTTTACTGACTTTACACTTTTTAAATTAAATGGCCCCAAGCATTAAAGTGTTTTTGAATTAGTTTATATTTGTCCTGAAACTTGAAAAGCTTAAGAAAAACGAGTCACGAAGAATGTTGAGTCATAGTAAAGCAGAAGCCAACAGATGACTAATTTCTGTCCTCCATTAGATTGATGGCATTATTTAAAAATAAGGACATGTGATATTCCACACCAGCTGTTTTACTTCCTCCATTCTCCATTCATCTGTCCTGAGAGATGATTTTTTATTTGTTATAATAGTGCTCAGTCTGAAAGTATAGAATTTGATTTGATCATTTTTCAAGTTTTCTAAGTAGAAAAACAAAATAAAATGAGAGGAAGCACAAATTTAGTATTCTTATTCTCTAAAATACAAATCAGAATTTATAAAAGATTTAAAGCTTTTCACTTCAATTTTATATCAAGACAATCTGATTTCTGATCTCAAATTGTAAATTCAGAATCGTTTTTTGATCCCCTTTTCAGTTTCTGTTGGTAGATTAAGTTTTTCTGATAATAAAAACAAAACCAAACAACCTTACTTCAGAATTGGAAAGGCATTTTTAGCTCAAACATCCAAAATATCATAAAAACTGATGAAAAAATCTGAAAACATTTAGTCTAGAAAACCAAGAAATGCTCAAATGGAAAAGTGGCAGGTTATAAATAAGGGAGTAATTATAATTTCCAAAAAAAAATAAATTTTTGTTTTCACAATTACAGATAAATGAATAGTTTTCTAAAAACCTGTATTCAGTTGTGTCCTCAGTGCTGGTGTCCCACATGTTTTAGGTGTTTTCCAGGTTCAACACACCTGCCTGAAATTAACAATGTTTTAGGATCCAGTTTAACCATTTGAAACATGGCAGGGACCGGCCCTGTCGGACGGGATTTGAACATCTCTGCTGTCATCAGTGGAAAAAACTCCAGTCCAGGTTTCACAGTCTTATTTAGACACAAATACACACCTGCAGTTTTTGTCAAAGTGAGACCTCTTGTTTTACAAATCAGCTTTGTAGCTCCACTTGAAAGAAACTATAAAATTGTTTTGTTTTGTATTTTTCTGGCAGGTTTTATTTTGTGATCATGTTATTTATAGATGTAACTGATTATTTAAACATTTATCAGCTAATTTAGCAATCAGTTAATCAAAACAAAAAAGGCAATTAGTTGTAATCAGAACAGTGTTCATAAGCCAGAACAATGTGTATGGATATATATACATATATACCTGTATTTAAAATAAAAACACTTTTGTCTGTAAATGTTTTTTTTGCCAAAACTCAAGTGTAAAGTTTTAACCAGTTGAGATTTACTAAAGCTGTTTTGTTGCATTTTAGGCAATATAAAGTTTTTCTTTTTTTCTTGTTTCCAAAAGGAATTGAGTTTTTTTTTTTTTTTTTAAGTAGTTAATGAAAAATCTGTAGAATGTGAGTGGCATCAACTCACTCACTCACTCTGGTTGCCTAGCAACAACCTACCAGGGTAACAAGCAGGTTCAAGCCCCCCATCCCCCTCCCAACTGTGGTTACCTAGCAACGACATGCTGAGTAACATGAGAATGTGTTCTTGCATTATTACCATTGTAGTACTTGAAAATGGTCTCAAAACAACAATATTATCGTTAATCACAAGAACTTCTGGGACGAATCAACATCCAGAAAAATAAGGCCTGAAGTTATGGCAGTAAATTTGTAAATGCGTCGGGCCTAGTCGGATCTCTCCAGGTTTTTTATTTATAGATCCAAACTTGAACCGTTTCTGCTTTCCTCCGCAGCGTGAAGATGATTCTGAAAGGTCAGAAACGGAAACTGGACCTGGAGGACGGGGAGGCGTCGGACCGGAGCAGCCCGACGTGGGAGAGCCAGCGGCAGTTCGTCTTCTCCGTGTCACTGAACAAGTACCAGCGCGGCCAGGAGCTGCCGGAGCCCAGCCTGCGCCGCTCGGTTCTGATCGCCAACACGCTGCGCCAGATCGCTCTGGAGAAACACTGTGAGTCGCCACCGCCACCGGACTCTGCCTTAATGTCCGGAGAACCGGCGACTCCGCCCACAAACCGCGGCCAATCAGAGGACGAGGACTGGGGGTCAGCGGAGTCCGACTTCTCCCTTTCAGCCGCCATTTCCTCCATCCTCACTGCGCTGGACTCCACCATCGACGGCGGCCCGCAGGCAGCTCCGCGGACACCTCTGCGGTCCGTGGAGAACCTCCTGGAGAGCGCCGGCGACGCGGCGAAACCCGGCTACGTGAACGACGTCAGCATGGAGGATCTGTTCCAGGAAGTAGATGCGTCCCTGCTGGGGAGAGTCGGCTACCCGGCCGAAGAGGAGCTGATCTGCTACCTGCCGCCGTTCTCCTCCGCCTCCTCCAACTTCAGGTGCTTGCCTTCGTTCTCCTCCTTCAGTCCGCTCTCTTCCTCGTCTTCCTCACCTGACTCCGCCTCCTTCTCTGGTCCTAATCAAAGCAGGGAAGCGTTTGAGCTGGAGCACCTGATGGAGATCCTGGTGGAGTCTTGACGACTTTCTCTAAAATAAACAACAAAAAACTTCCATCATAAGTTAGTGGTCTGAATTCAGAAGAGAAGAAATGCTTATTATTTTTTAACTTTCTACATGAACTCAAACAATAGTGCATTACGAGGTTTAGAAAGTCGTAGGAATGCAAATGAAATGTAAAAACGGGGCAGGAGGAACTTTGGCAGCTTTTGGTTTAAAAATAAACCGAGTCGCAGTAAAATCTGTTTGTAGCCTGAGCCGTTTCTTCACTGCTAAGCAGCGAGTCTGTGGATCATGAGCCAGTAAGCTGCAGCTGTCTGAAGCGTGAGCAGTACCGGGACCGGACCAGAAGATGGCGCCAGATCTCGGTTCTGATCATGTGGCAGAAACACTAACATTACGGCTCAGACCTGTGAAGAAGTCGGGAAGTTTTGCGTTTTGTTTTGGGAATATCTCAGCTGTTTTCCTGAACATGTCAGTTACGTTGCGTTCAGTTTCTGTAAGAGTTCAACTTGAAGTTGTTTTCTGTCTTTTTAAACTTGTTTTTAATTCAAAGAGCCATCACAGCACTGTTATTTAACACGCTGCAAAGTTTCAGCCATATTGGCTCTAAGAATCCCAGCGGTGCCGACATGTTTTATATGGTTTACTTTACATTTTTGCACTTTGTCAGTAATATGCATTTGCCTCAACCATGTTAGTGTTTTTAACACACAGTGATGAAACAAAAAGCCCTCTTTTTGTTCTTAAATGTTGTTAGACATTTAATACTTATTTCATATTTAATTGTTGAGCATTTAACCCAGATATGGTTTGAAGAAACACAGAAACGTCTGAAGTTTTAGCTGTTCTGCAGACTATAAACCGTTTTTGTTGCAAACAAAATGTTTTATTTAAAGTTGTATCACATGGACAAATCACTAATGATGTATTAATGTACCACCTTATGTACTGTTATTTTCATGTACTTTCAATATTTTTTTGCTTTTTTTAATTTATGTACTTTTGTTTTATAGCCATTTAGTTTTAGAAATACAGATTTTCTTAAAATATCTGGGTGCAAATTGTGATTTTTTTAACATTTAGCAGTTAGAAGCAACTTTTACAGGCATCTCATACAATTTTACATGAAATTCTCAAACGACATTTTTGACATGTTACATGATTGCCAGAGTATTTTAAATTGATTTTATTGTAAGTGACCTCAGTAGTGCATGATTCTTTGACTAGACCAGTGCATTTAGCCAGGTTACAAAGGATAAAAAAATAAAATGTTTTTCACTTTGTTTAAATTTTCCATCATGTAACATTTAAAGTGTCTTGAAAAAACATTTTTAAAAATGTTATCAAAACCAACCTAAATTGTGAATCACCAGTACAAAGTGTAAAATTTGTATAATCCACCTCATTTCCTTTTGCCAGTTCTCTTAAATTTCTGTCTAAGCTATAGTTAGATGTTGGAGTAGGGGATACAATCCTTGAACACTGATGGATGGAAGAGGTGGTTTGAACTTTCTCTGCTGCATCCAACTGAGGTTTGGGGTCAAAATTCAGATATTTGAGCTTTTGAGATGCTAGCCAGCTGCTACCAGTTAAATCAATACCTTGTTGCCATGGTTATGCATCATAGCTGTCCTAAAGTGAAAAAGCAAAGGCTTAAAACCTGCTGGCACCACTTCCAAAACTAGAGGTAATTATCCAAGCAGCAACGATTCAAAGTCTAGAAAAAAAAAACAAATCAGAAATGAAAGTTGCTCCAATTTGTTGCAACTTTAAGCAGCAAAATTCCAGAAAGACTAATTTGCATTTATAAAACTGATTCCAGCTCCATTTTTAAATCCCATCTGAATGGCGAGTGGTTACCCTAGGTTGGGTTTATCAGACATTAGGTCTCCATTTAGCCCCAATTTGCCGGACATCCTGGTATTTTCCTTTTTTCTCAAGTTTCCAATCATGTGCTTCCGTTTCCATGGTACAAAATTGATAAGTTCCTCTAGTAAAGGTTCAAAAGGTGAACAATTCAAGCTCAGGGGCTCAGTGACTTGCTGTGGAAAAGTTGTGGGTGGGATTCCTCCTGTCCCAGCCTGCGATGCAGCCGGTGAGGAATCTGCATGAAACATGTTTGTGCAGAGCAGCAGAGCGTTTCCTCACCAGTGACATGATGGAAGAACCAGGGTGGGGCGAGCTTCACCTCCCGTTTAATGAAACAATCTTTGTTCTCCGATGGTCATGAGATGATGATGGCATGGAAGTTAGTGGTTCTTGTGTTCGACCCAGTTTCACGGTTCAGTTATGTCATTCTGCAAAGCCACAAGGCTTTTAGTCAAAGACCCTTTTCAATCCAAAGAGCCATTTTTATCCTCAGTGCAGCAAATGTATGCAACTTTTGTTTAAAGAGCCGATGGGGTCCAGGATCTTTTTCCTTCAACCTCTTGCATCTGGAATCTCAATCCTTTGGTCGCATGGTTCCGGGATCTCGGGTCTAATCAGTCAGTCGCTTCAATCCAAGGCCTCGTTCTTTAGGTTTCTTCAGTCTCTGGTTTTGTGCCATCGGTCGCTTTGGTCCAACCTCTAGTTTTTTTGGTCGCTTGCATCCGGCGCCTCGTTCCGTCGGTCGCTCTGGTCCAGGAGCCGTTAGTCGTTTGGATCCAACCTTTCACACAGAAGTCTTATTGTGTTTCCATTTTAATAACAGTATGAATGGTCAAGCAAAAGGAGAATCAAGACCTGCTGTTTTAACATAACCTGTTATAATCCTCTGCATCATTCAGAAACAGGTCCTGGAGAACTGTTCGACCGCGACAATAAAACATGAGAAGGATCCAAATTTCAAGTTAATTCATAAAATATTTAACAGACTAGAAGACAGGAGCAGACTTAAGGAAAAACCTTTATTTAAATATGACTAAGACGCTACCTAAATTGTTACAACACAGTCATTATTTCAGCCCTACAAGTATAACATCTGCATTAATTAAAGTGCATTTCAAGTATTTCTCCAAACAGCCATGGATGAGTTCAGCCTCTTCATTCCCTGTATTGAAACCATTTGCTCCAGTTTTGAATGAATCCCACTAACATGACGAATTACATGCCAGCCATTTACTGATGCAAACAGCGCCCCCTTCTGTTTTCTACCACTATGTACTGGGGCCACTGTAAACAAAAGAGAATGAAAAAAAGTTAATTTCTGGCAAAAATGACCCAAATTTTGAGATTGATATCAAATCTTAAATAATTTGTCACAGGAAATGTTGAGATCTCAAACTGTAGATTTTTTTCTTGGACATTTGAATCAACAGTCAAATTTGAACATTTCTGAGCTTAAGTTGAACATTTGTTAGAATAACTCAAATTTTGAGATCTCAGAAACATTTCAGCTTTAGAAACTCACATTTCCAAGTTTCTCAAAAAATAGTTTCAAAATGAGTTTTCTTGCAAATTTTTGATGCCAAGCTCAAATGTCCAAGTTTTTTCTAACAGAATTCTGAGATTAATCTGAAAATGTTAATTTTTTTGGCAGTAATTCTCTTTCACCCCGGCTCCCATCTACAGTGGCCCCAATCTGCCGTCGTAGTTTTCTTCTAAGCAACCGACTGATTTCACTGAAGATCTGAAGCAGCCGTCACATTTTAAGCAATTTGACATTCATTTAATTATAATAATTCAAAAGTCAAATGGACGACTGTTAGTTTCAGTGAGCAGATCCGGATGTACGTCCTGCTAAAATAAAATAAAAAAAGATGTTACTCATTAGTTCTGCATTAGAAATCCAAACGTGACAAATAAACATGTACAAATGGACCAAAGTGAATTAGTTAAAAAGCTGCAGACCGACCCAAGTCTTGTGCCCGTTTAGAGACTGTAAACCAGTGTAGAAGACGCATAAACAGCTTCCTGTGCTTTTTAGCAAGTTTTTTAAAGAGTTTCTGTTCCAACTTTAACACTTTCTACCCGCCAACAGGCTGAACCTTAAAGCTCATCTCAATTCCTCTGGAATGAAATTAAAACAAGAGTTCAGATTCAGCCCAGCGGCTCTCCTGAGGTAAATCCTTTCCCCGCCGCCGCCGCCGGTTCAGCCTTTGTTGATGGAGTTGTACGACGGCTGGGATCCCGGATCCAGAGGTTTGGTGGCGGGCCTGTCTTTTGGGCGAGGCGGAGTCGGGTCGGTGCCGACGATCGGCTCTGTGTCGTCGTCGATCAGAGACGCCTCGCAGCGCGGCAGCTGGAAGAACGTGGTAAGGCCGTGGACGTCGGCCATCTTGTGGAAGGTCCGCAGTAGGAGGTACATCATCATGAGACCAATGAACAGGTAGACTGGAAAAGCCAAAACAGAAAAAGTCTCATGTTGGGATTATGCAAAACCTGAGAAAATCTGATATTACTGGCCAAAATATTTTGCTTAAAGGGGCAATGTTGTGTTTTTATAGCAAAATAAGTTATAAAAATAATGTACTTCAAATATGACTTAAGAAATTTAGCTTTCTAATTTGACACCTTTAAATTGGGCCTCTGTTTCTTTAAGAAGCTCCTACTCTTTCTGAAACTCCACCTACAGGAAGCCATCCCAACATGGCTCCAATATTAACCCTTTAACAGCGTTTAACTGAGCAGTAGCTCCTGTAACGAGCTCAGCAGTGCCACTAGGTGTTTGCTAATTGCTGCTGGCTAGTCTGAAGGAGCCGAGTGGGGGAGTTGTGGTGGAGGGTTGCTCTGCGAGGCAGAAGACTGGAAACTGAAGCTCAGAGGAGGAGTTTTGTCTTCGAAGGCGGGGTTAGGGCCAACCAGGCATTTTGCACAGCTGAATGGTTGCCATGGAGATCAAAAGATTGCAAACACCATAGCCTAACGCTAGCTGGAGAAATGGCTCCTGGTCTTTTACAAACGACAAAGGAGAAATCCTACAACCACTAAAATCTGACACCACTCCATTTTTATTTCCATTCCACGATAAGGAAGCTCAGTCATTGTGTCTTCAGAGGTTTTCAACATGGCAGGATTACACTTTAATGGCCTGCTGCCATTAAATTACTCAGAAACTGAAGAATCAACCTACTTTGTT